GGGCAACCGGGACAGAATCCGGCGCCCCAACCGGGACTAGAACCCGGTATGCCGGCGCCGCAAGGCGGAGGATTAGCCTAGTGAGCCGCGGCGCCAGCCAATAATTTGTTTTTAAAGAAGAAATTCATGAGTTCAGTCCCCACGCATCACATGGGAAGTTAAGACCCTCTGTCTGTGAAAAGAGAGCTGCTCTGTGCCAGAGGCCACAAAGAAGGAACCCTAGCAGAGCTGAAGGTCTCTTGGTCTCCGTGTTCCAAGGGCACTGCTCACCCCATTTACGGTAGCCCGACCGCTCCTCCTCTGCACTTGGCTCAGCTCTCCCTCTCCAAGCCAGACAGATGGGCCATTTGCTGTTCCCTCTGCCCTGTGGTGGAAGCTGAGGGACAAGGGCTGAGCTGACAGACGGGTCTCTAGCTCCTAGAAACTTGTCTCTCTGGCAGAGCCTAAATGTGTTTAGTTCCAACTTTCCTAAAATAGACTCCAGGGAGGGGTGGGGGAGGGGCGGATCTGGAGCACTGCGTTCTAAGAGCTCTCAAAATCTCGGGACGGTGGAGGCAGCCTGTACCCACTGGATTTTGGACAAAAATGCAGTGGACATAAGGGAGGATGTGGCGGAAGAGTGACCTTCCAATGTGGAGGAGGGCTCTGGGAGCTGCAGGGGCGACAATAATTAACCATCCCAGAACCTGGAAACAGGGGAATTCACACTGCTTCCTGGGAGTAAAATGGGCAAATGAGCTCACAGAGGCTGTGGGATTTTCCAGCCCAGTGAGTAGATTAAGGTGGCACAGGTGCGTTCTGAGAGACGCGTCCCTGGCTTTTTTGCCAGTCCATCAGCTTGAGCTAACGAACTGTGTTGCTTGCAGAAAGGGTAAGACGACAGGAGGAAGAAGGCAAAGGTGAAAAGCACAGACGAGGAGGAAATTCTCAGCTCTCACCCACTCTACTCAGTGCAGGCAGCCCTGGCCCTGGGGAATACGCCTCCTCCCCCACAGGCAGGGGGTGCTGGGGGCCAGGGTGGGATCCGAGGCCATCTTCAGGGCTCCTTCAACACCAGCTACTCTGCGTTGACTGCATGATCAGCAAGCCACGCCGTGGGGCCTGCTGTGGGTTTCTGGGCCTTCTAGCATCAAGAACAGGACACTTGGTGAGGCATGCAGGCACTGGAAAGGAGCCCCCAACTCCTGCCCCAGCCTTCCACGGACATTAAAAATGAGTAACGGTCCAGTTTATACACATGAGCCTGCTGTAAGTACAGTTGGCGTCAGGGAGCCCGCCAAAGTCCCAGCCACTCAGGGACACAGACAGCACCCCCACTCCCAACCTGCCCCAGGGCTCTCCCCAGGTGGTGGAAACCACGCCAAGCTGAGACCGCTCACCCCGGGAGACCTTCAGGTAGGCATGGACCCAGGTGTTCCCTTTCAAGGTTTTTCCTCGAACAAGGGCAGGGGCAAGGAGTTTGCAGACAGATTGTATATGCCAGGCAGGGTTATCCTTTCTCCTCCCACACAGCCATTCTGAACCATCATGAGCTATGCGGTCCTCCCCAGTATCTTTGTTTACTCGTCCCCCAGATCAGTGGCTTGCAAGGGGATGTGCACCCTCCAGGCCTGGGCAAGGAAATCTATTTGATACAGGAAGAAAATACAATCACAGAAGGTAGTAGAAGTGCTGTGCATATCCATTTTTGTCTCTCCTTTTTAATTTCCCACTTTTCAGTCTTATTTAATAACGTATATGGGCATGCCCACCATTACTTTACTGATAGGGGTGTATGATCTGAAACGTCTGGAAGCCATAATCTTGGATTGACCCCGGAATGACAATGTTGAGGCTGCATAGGAACTGTTGTCACAGCGCAGACAGGAAATCCCAGTGTTGGGACTCTACCAGTGTGTCTGACCCATCTTCTGTGGGCATCAGAACCTCCTGGAGAGTTCTAGAAAGTCCACATGGTGTGACAAGGGACCCAAAGCTCAACAGGTTATTTTGCTTGGTTATTGTAAAACAAGGCCTGTTCTTCATACAATTAAATGTTAGTTTGTAACTGACCCATTTCTAGCTTCTGTACCTCTGCTTGCTTGATAATGGCCAAAGCCACTTGACTGTGGTTTCTCCTGTCTACTCCTGGCTGCGGACACAGGATAGCACAAGTAACATCAAGGTTACCAAAAAAAAAAAAAAAAAAAAGACACCTGGCTAATTCGCTAACTGCTTCTCGCTTCTCTGTGTGCTTTCCGCTCGCACAAGCTCACACGCATAATCAAATGTCTGATAAAAAGCAGGTTCTGCCTTTAAAAAGCCCCCACCACCACTGCAACCCGGGGGCTGTCTTCTCTGGACTTGCTCTGTGACTGGCAGTCGCCAGCTGGCTAATAAAGACTCCTAATTCGACCTCAAAAGTCTCGCTGAGAGCCGGCACCGTGGCTCAATAGGCTAATCCTCCACCTTGCGGCGCCGGCACACCGGGTTCTAGTCCCGGTTGGGGCGCCGGATTCTGTCCCGGTTGCCCCTCTTCCAGGCCAGCTCTCTGCTATGGCCAGGGAGTGCAGTGGAGGATGGCCCAGGTGCTTGGGCCCTGCACCCCATGGGAGACCAGGAAAAGCACCTGGATCCTGGCTCCTGCCATCGGATCAGCGCGGTGCGCCGGCTGCAGCGGCGGCCATTGGAGGGTGAACCAATGGCAAAGGAAGACCTTTCTCTCTCTGTCTCTCTCTCTCACTGTCCACTCTGCCTGTCAAAAAAATAAATAAATAAAAGTCTCGCTGTGTCTTAATCCGTGCGCCCCACAACAACAGTAGGTTCCATCCCGTGCCTACTGGGTCAGAAGACACAGTAGCAGAGGCACTAGCAAGGCTGTGCTTTTGGGCGATGCTTGTGAGCAGCCAGGACAGAAAACTGCTGTAGGGGCTGCTGTGGACACGGAGTATGGGGGAAGCTCCTAGGGGTACACGGTGGGCTTTGGAGGCACCAAACACCCAAGTTTAGGCTCAGAGTCCCCTGAGATTCACCTGCTCCCTCCTTCTGTCCCCTGGGAGTACTGGCCTCTGTGTCCAGTCTCTGGGGCCCTCTGATGCTTCGTGCACTTGACTGTGGAGAAGACCCCTCTCCATGAGCAGAACTGAGCAGGTTGGACCCAGGCAGCTGTGCTTGGCCAAGGAAGCACCATGCTCAGAGAGAGGGTGAGGCCAGGCCTCGGGAGAGAGGCCAGAGAGCCTGCTCGGCCACTTAGAGGCACCAAGAGAGACAGCGTGGCTCCCCAGGGCTTGGGCCCAGGCCCAGGGGCTAAGTATTTCTGCAAAAACATATGGGCCCAAGCCCCAGCAAGCAACTCCAGTATGTATCTGCCTAGCCCTAAACCCTGTGTGTTTACTCCTCTAGACCTCCTGGAGGGAGCGTTTAAGGAAGATAGCATCTGGGATCTGGATCCTGAGCAAATACTACTCCACACCTCCGACTGCATTGGGATCGCCCCAATCTATGGCCTCACGAGAAGCCGAGGAAGGGTCTGTCGGGATACTCCCATTCCTCACACTAGCAAGCTGGCGAAGGTGGCCCGAGCTTCTTGCCCGAGATCAGTTGGCATGTTTGAGTCACAGCCAGCCTGCTGTGCTCCAGGAACAGTGTTCCAGTCCTTAGGGAAATACCATGCATGCACCTCCAAGACGGGGCCCACGCTGTCTTTACCTTTTGTCCTACACATAGCACAGGCACCTTGTAGGCATCAGGAGATGTTTGTTGGAGAAATGGAAAGACTGCCTCTTAGCCCCAGGGCCAGGCCTAAAAGAGCGAGGAACACAGCCACTCTTCACTCAGTCTCCTTCCCAGACCTGCTGTGTGGACGGACTTCAATGCTGACCCTCAGAACTACTCTATGGGCTAAAACACTCCCCCTGCTCCAAGACCCCTGCTGGAAGGTGCAGGCTACATAGGAAGTAAGGAACAACTGGGAAGAGAGGGAGTGGACCTCCCATCTCTCATTCATTCATTCACACGTTCATTCACTTTTAAAACAAAAACGCAGATCTAACACCTAGGACCTGACTCACTGTGAAATGGGTTCTCCGGCAATGCAGACAGCAGAAGACGAAACGCAAGTCACAAGCAAAGAGCAGCCACGTGCAGAATGGATTTCCTTGCACTCTAAAAGCATGGGGTCTTATTTCTCAAGGGCTCAAAGACACCCGGACACTCTCCTCTGGGTCATGCATATGTCGTTCTTTCTGTTGCCTCGAATTCTTCCCCCGGAAGACAATCGCCCAACTTCCCTTCATAATAATATGGCTAGGGAGACAGCTAGTGAGTGACAAGGAGCTGAGGACTCCCAACACCCAAGCCACGTGCCATCTTGTGCAAATCCCAGCACCTTCAGGCCGACTCAGCAGGGCTGAAGGCCTGGCACCCCCACTCCTCATCATGCACCAGACACCAGCCCCACCCCAAACCTTGCCTCCTTGGAACTGCAATCAGGCCCTGCCCAGAGCACCACCCCTGACCCTATAGAACTGCCCAGAGCACCACCCCTGGGGGCAATTCTCCCTCATGAGGTTGCCCCGGGTGGGGGCAATTCTCCCTCATGAGGTTGTCCATGCTCTTGTCTGAGTGCGCACCATCCCTTTGCCTTTCAAGAAATCCCGCGTGTCTGCTCACCTCTATCTATGTCTTCCTACACATGGAGAGACGAGAACTTGGACTAAGGCTAGCCTGGGGTCTTTCTGAACCCAGCCAGGGTTCCCTATTCCCACAGAGATAAGACTTTCCCCTTCCCCACAAACCAGTGATTGTCAGAGACATTTGAAGATCTTTCTATTTAGGGGACATGTGTGCCCTTGACTGCCCAGCAGGTATTCCTTTGGGGTCAGAAGGTCCTTGTCCCTGGCGAAAGGACTTTCCCTGGCATCCTGACCTTAGCAGATAAACATACAAACACAATGCGTGCCCCTCTCCCCAGGGCGTCAGGCAGAACAGTCAGAACGAGTCTAAACAACCCAGCCACTCACCTGTACTTATAATCTCTGAAGCACATTTGGTGGGCTTTGAGCTTAGAAATGAGAAGCTTGAGGATTTTCAGGAAGATGAAGAAATTGACCTTGAACAAAGAACAGATGTGCGTTAAGGTAAGTGATGGTCTCCATAGGGCTGCCAATGTCCAGGTCACCCCAGGACTCAGCCACGAGCGCCTTGTCCTTGTCAACCAGGGCCAGTTCAGCAATTAGCTGGTGGGTTTTAATCCCCACTGTCCCAGTGGTCAACTGAACTCCAAGTCTGGAGGAGATCTTGGTAAGCCATTTGTTTGGCCCACCACTAAAGCCATGTGCATAAGTCAGAAGGACATCGACATTATTGCTAATATTTACTAACATTTGCTCAGTACTTACCAGTCTGGCCATTGGGTCGAGAACTTTCTATACCTGGGAAGTAGCCACAACCATTTTTATCCGCATAATATGACAAAGAGACAGAGGCATGTAGGAGATAAATCTCCCAGTTATACAGGTGGTCAGGGACTGAGCTAGTGGTTGAGCCTGGATTGATATAATTAATCACTTACACCTCATGCCACCCTGCAAGGAACACTGGCCCCCCGTGGTGTCTAAGGTGGGGTCCTACTGCTGCCAGGAAACTGCACAGCACATGCTCCCCACGCCCAAGAATGCCTGCCACAACTGGCACGAGTCGGCCAAATCCCACCTTGGGAGAAATTTCTAATTATGTCTGAATTCTTTGGTATTCTCCCTAATGAGAAGAGCCTAATCCCACTCCACCCTCACTGAAGGTGAGCTTCATGTGGCTACTGGCATCTAATGCAAAGAATATGGTGGAAGTGAGCTCACTTCCTGAGCCAGGTGATACCAGGTACTCTCTCTCCTTCTGCTCATCCCCTGAACTGCTCACTCGCAGGGAAGCCAGGCACAAGCAGTCTGTAGAAAGGCTGGTGTAGGAGAATCAAGCCCTCGATCAACAACAAACATCACTCACCAGCCATATGAACCACCTTGGGAGCCGATCTTCCAGCCCTTTTTAAAACTTCAGGTGGCTGCAACTTTGGCTAATATCTTTTGAAAGTACTTATTTACTCATTTATTTGAAAGGCAAAGAGACAGAGTTCCCATCTGCTGGTTCACTCCTGGAAAGCTTGCAACAGCCAGGGCTGGGAAATCAAGCCAGGCTTCCCATGTGAGTGGCAGGAACCCAACCACTTCAACCATCACTGCTACCTCCAAGGTGTACATTAGCAGGAAGCTGGAATAGGGCCTGGAGCCAGGACTGACACCCAGGCACTCCAATATGGGATGCAGGTGTCTTAACCTCTACACCAACTGCCTACCCCTAATGGATGTCTCAACTACACCCTTAAGATAGCTCATGAGCAGCCACCTGTAGGTATTCAAGAGCAATGGCTGGGTGTGGGCTTAGAGAATGACACTGGAGTGTGTGAGGAGTGAGACTGCAGAGGGAGGGAGGGCCAAGTGATGCAGGGCCTTCCCAGGTCACACTAAGCGGGGAGGGGCAGTTGATTATCTTCAGAAAGCCGTGGGGAGCCACTGATGAATCTTGGGTGGGCATGTGATCTGCTCACGTGTGCACACTGGCATTTCAGAAAGCTCCTCCGAGAGAGTGTGGAGAACAGATTGCATGAGGACCAGACGGGAAGAAGGGGGCCCATTGGGAGACAGTTTCAGAGCTCCCGGGGAAAGGAGACAGAGAGGCCAACTCAGACAGCTGCCCTGATGCTGCCAGACGGGGAGGAAGCGACAGACTGGAAGTCATTAGGAAGTGTGGTTCAAATGCCATTTGTTACTGTTTGGATGTGAGGTTGAAGATGACCCTGTGGGGAGCAACCGAGACTGGACTAAATTACTGGAACTAAGACTAATTCTATGCATCTGATCTCCCACAATATGGCGCTGAGAGACAGCAAACAACTTCTACACAGCTGCCTCGCCAATTCGACTAACAAACTGCAGGAGCTGATCCTGCTCCTGATTGGAGGAGAGTAGCGTGCTCAGCGTGTGGGCAGCAGAGTTGGGATTGGTGGAAGAGGACTATAGAGGAAGAGAGAGACCACATGCACCAGAAACATCTGAGGAACATCTGAGCAGCCCCTGAGAGAGCCTGCTGGTGGTGTGCCGCTCCTCCACGGAAGCGGGGAAAGCGGTGGGGGTGCTGCCCCTCCGCGGAGGTGGGGGGGGGGGCGGCAGCTAACCCGGGAAGGGCTGGGCAAAGAGAACAGCGCAGGGTCCAGTGTTGTTCCTCCGCGAGAGGGGGAAAGACAGACCCCAAAGCTTTGGAGTAGCTCTCAGGATGTGCGGTGGTGCCACTCACCAAGAGAGGGACCACATGGAGAAAGAACACTGGGCGAGGATGGGGATGAGCGGATCCAGTGGTTCTGAACACAAGAGATGCCCACAGCCATTAGATACTTGTGTCCAGATCTCAGCAGAGTCATCCAAGACACAGCAGGAAGCCACCGGGGTAGACAAAATCATGCAGGGACTGTGTAGACTGAGAGAGAAGGAAGGTTCAGAAAGTCACCTTTTTTCTTTAAAAAGGTGTATATCTATTTGAAACTCAAAGTTGCAGAGAAAGAGGAAGACACTGAGCGAGAGATTTCCATCTGCTGGGTCACTCCCCAAGTGGCCACAATGGCCATGACTGAGCCGGGCCAACACCAGGAGTTTCATCCAGGTCTCCCACTTGGGTGCAAGAGCCCAAGCACTTGAGCCATCCTCTGATGTTCTCCCCAGGCCATTAGCAGGGTGCTGGATTGGAAGTGGAGCAGCTGGGACTTGAACCAGGGCCCATATGGAATGTTGGCATTGCAGGCGCAGTCTTACCAGCTGCGCCACAACACTGGCCCCAGAGTGAGATGACAAAGGACATTCAGAAAGAGTAGCTAGAGCACAAATGGAATTCCATGGAATGAACCCCATGGAAGCGGTATTCTGGAAGCCCACAGAAAAATGTTAAGGTTTAGATACTATGGCCATTAAGCAGAATAAGACTGCCTTTAGCAATAAGCAGTTCGCTAAGAAAAGCTGCGCTTCCACAATAGGGGCACAAGCCAGATTCCAGTGCCCGTACAGCCAGTGTGGTAAAGAGAAAGCAGATTCCTCAGAAACTCGACCATAGCAAAGCCATTAGCAAGGAGCGGGATTGGAAGCGGAGCAGCCAGGACACGAACCAGTGCCCATACAGGATGCAGGTGTCACAGGCCGTGGCTTTACTCGCTATGCCACAACACTGGCCCTGAAAGTGGTTTATTCATTGCATCTGTTTTTAAGACTTGGTTATGCTTCTACGCCATGGCGAAAGCACTGGCGATCAGGTGATAATTAACGAAGGGGTCTCTAGAGACGTGAGCCAGCCCGGTACTAAAGTCCCTGACAGCAAAATTCTGCAAGTACATATTGGGACGCAAGCTGCAGAATCCAGCATGCACCTTGCTTTACTGGCCTCAGGACCACCAGTGCTCGATGCCGGAAGGCTAGAGTTTCAGGCAAGAGGCTGTGTATGCACTCTGTAAGCCAAGAGGAATGAAGGAGGTTCCCAGCCAAAGAATATTTGGTCACAGAAAATTTAAGTATACACTCAATGTAACCAAGTAATTTATCCCTTTTAATGGGATATCTGTTTTTCATCATCAAGAGAAAACACTGTGCCCTTGGCTTAGTGATTTGTTGAGCACAGCCATTTTTCTTACAAGTAAGTGCAACAGGGAAAGACATATTTCAGCAAATTAATTTCGATCAGCACTGTCTCCTAGGAAACAAAGGGCTATGAAGATGAGCATGTTGATTCACTGTCTTTTGTGCCTCCCAGAGACCAGTCAAGAGAAAATGGGCATCAACCAATGGGCCACGCGGGGGTGGCGGGGGTGGGGAGGCACTTCCTCACTGCCATGGAGTGACCCAGGAGCCTCTGTTCACCTAGACCTCGGGAAAGACAGCAACCTGCGTGATGTCACTCCCCATAAGCAGGACAGGGGCTGATTGAAGACACAGGCACCCAGCCAGCTCCTCTAGGATTCTGTGATTAGATGAAGGAGGCACACACTTAAGGCTCCTTCTAAGTCTTAAACAGCACAGATGCATTCTCCAATGTAGCAGTTTTGGTGACCCTCTTTCTGACAGCCCAGCTTCTGTGCACAGATCTGGGCCTATGGGTTGGCAGAGAGGATGGACAGCATGGGAAAAGCTCAGGGGTAGGTCTTATCTACCCATAAACTCTGCCAATTGTCCCCAAGTCCCTCCTCCCCTGGCCTGCTGTGCGGACTAAATTACCTACCCCTTAGAGTTACTTCTTTGGAGCAAAACTTTCCCTGCCCAAGAGCCCTGCCGGAATGCATACATCCCACAGAAGATAAGGAGCGCCTGGGAGAGGCCTGCATTCTTCATTCGTGCATGCAAGCAAATGTTCGCAATAATGAAGACGTCAACAAACACCTGTGATCGGAATGTCACTGTGGAAAGAGAAGCAGGGGTGCAGCAAAGGTGAGATTTGAGGGGGTGGGAAACCCCAGGGCACGGGGAGATTCCCATTCTAACTCTTCAGCAGTGGAGCATATTTGGGAATGAGGCGATGTCTTGGGAATCCTGGGGCAGCACAAAGTCCCTGAGATCCTGGTGGGGCAGAGGGACTTACAGAGGACAAAACCAGTGGAGACTAATTTTGCCAATTTCTCCATGCCTTCTAGTTCTGAGGCTGTTAGAGAAGACTCAATGAGAATGAATGAAGGCTCCTGACTTTCTGACTCACAAAGTCAACAACAGATGGCTCATTCCATTTGGGAGCTCAAAATGCCATTCAACGGAGTGTTCAATCTGTTAGCTCCAGAGAGCAGGATATGAATAGAACAACTCTGCATGGTGTAATAATTTTGTAAGACTGTCCTTGAAGAGTTGGGCTAATCAAAGCTTTATTGATTTTTCTACTGAGGGCAGGGAGGACTAGAATATAAAGATACATCATGTTCCAATGAGATGCAAGTCAAAATGTATACCCAGGGGTGAGGTTAACTTAAGTGGTGAAGTCTTATACAAAGAAAGAGATGGGAATTCTCCAAGTTTGGTGACTGGTGGAAGACCC